AGAGACAGTTGGTAGTGAGTCATCTACTGGTACACTGGTTACTGGTAACTGGTTACTACTACTGAGAATGACATCTAGACCGAACTGATACTCATGCTAACTCAATAGAGCTCCACACAGAAAGAAATGTTATATATAACGAAGGCTTCTACTATTCTCCTTTTTCTTGTTTTGCATACCAGTTCGAGCCCAACTCCTTTTAATAATAATAATAATAATAATAATAATAGCAACAATGATATGTTTTATTTGTACAAGTACATAATACAACTATTACACCGTTGACATCGGTGGTATATAGAAAGTCCCTGGTTATGTAGACCATCTCGGGCAACTTAGGGTAATCTTGTCCCCCAGGATGCGACCCCGTGCCGGAATCCATCCCCGGACCCCTCAGTGTGTGAGCCACGAGCACTCGTTTATTCCACGTCATCTTATTCTTCCCTGTTTTCCCCGGATGCTCTATTTTTCCACCCTTTTCTTCTTCATCTGTGTCTCCTCCCTCTTTACCTTGCTTATTCTACGTACCTTTCTTTATTCTTTCTTGCCAGAGTTCCTCTCAACTAATTTTCGTTTTTGCTCTCTCTCTCTCTCTCTCTCTCTCTCTCTCTCTCTCTCTCTCTCTCTCTCTCTCTCTCTCTCTCTCTCTCCTCTCCTCTCTCTCTCTCTCTCTCTCTCTCTTCTCTTATCTTCCTTATTATTTCCCCTTACCTCGATTACCGCTTCTTACTTCCTCAGTAATCACTTCATCTATCCTGCTTCCCCATCTCAGTCCCATGTTCCTTCTTTACACTTAATATTTCCTTCTTTCATTGGCTTCCCCTCTCCTCTACAGCCTCTTCTTTCTCTCCCCTCAGCTTCCCCTCTCCTCATCTTCGTGCTCGTCCCTCGGCTTCCCCTCTCCTCCTCAGCCTCTTCCTCCTCTAAGCTCATCTCTGTCGTCCCCAGAGCTAGCGCTCAACATCACGTTCCTACTGACTCTAATCCAACATACTACAAGAATTTATCCCCTGATCTGCCTGCCATCCCGTCCTCTCCTCTATCCTCTTCCTCTCTGTCTCTCTCCTCTCCCCGTCGTTCCTCCATCCCCATCCCCCCTCCTTATCCGCCGTCCCCTCATCCACCATCATCGCTTGCATCAATCTCGCTTGCTTCGTCTCATTCTCTTTACTTTCTCTCATCCCATCTTGCGTTTCTCTCTCCCTAGCTCCCTCTCTCTCCCTAGCTCCCTCTCTCTCCCTAGCTCCCTCTCTCCCTCCTCCCGGAATATGGAAATGAGGTTGTGCTCAGAGACTTTTTTCAATTTCATTTTCATAGAGGCGAAAGTGCGTATCAGGCTGCGGGCCAGAAGGTCGGAAAGTCCTCGACCGTGGTGTAAGATTTTCACCCTAACGAGCTCCCCACCACACACACACACACACACACACACACACACACACACACACACACACACACACACACACACACACACACACACACACACACACACACACACACACACACACACTCATCTTGCCAACTATTTCCACTACCTTTTAACTTGAGGGTTCTAGCTGAGTTAGGAGGAGAGTTTGTACGTGTATTGTACAAGCTGTGAGCTGATATCCTATCTCAGCTCACTCTACAAGCTGTGAGCTGATATCCTACCTCAGCTCACTCTACAAGCTGTGAGCTGATATCCTATCTCAGCTCACTCTACAAGCTGTGAGCTGATATCCTATCTCAGCTCACTCTACAAGCTGTGAGCTGATATCCTACCTCAGCACACTCTACAAGCTTTGAGCTGATATCCTACCTCAGCTCACTCTACAAGCTTTGAGCTGATATCCTACCTCAGCTCACTTTACAGGCTGTGAGTTGATATCCTTGATAGCTGTGATCTTTTACCCAACCTCAACTCATTGCACTAGATATGAGGTGTCACCGTGCCTCAACTCATTTTAGAAGCTATGAAATGTTATACTAGCAAAGCTCACTTTAAAAGCAATGAGCTGTCATTCTAAATGACAGCTAATTTAGTTCATTTTTAAACCTGGCTTTATCAATATTCTTAGTATAATTCATTTTTGAGAATTACATTTGATGCTAAAGAATGTACCAGTAGATGGGCCAGATGAGCTGAAATAGCATTCCCAGTATATTTATGTTATGGCGAGAAATGCCCGTCTTGTAGTATAATATTCGCTGACTTCGAGCTCCCCGCAAAGCTGGATCAAGTGGGGGATCCTCAAAACATTATCCTCGTATGTAACAGTAATTCCACCGGTGTGTCTGATGTTGAAGGCTAGGAATGAGAGGCTCACTAAAGTCGGGTTGAGTGAGGCTGGAAGTTAGTCACCTTCCTATGGACATTTATCTTGTCCAGAATTGGGATATAAAAGGAAGGTAGGGCGTCCAGGAGCGTGGCGCATACTCAGGGCATGAGGAGACTGGTACCTCATGTAGAGTTTTGCAGCTACTGTTCCCAAGGAACTACTAGATGCTTGAATGGCGTATAGAGCAAGTTTTCATTGTGACAACGTTTCGCTCTACATAGAGCTTTATCAAGCGATTTATCTGATAAAACTCAACGATGAATTTTGTTTATACTCCCTGGTGAGGAAAAATAAAACCTAGGAATCTAGCACCTTTGAAATGAAGTCAGATTTTATTGTGTATACGGTAGACATCATATACATTGTAAGCAACTATCAGTTGTGTAGCATTATTGAATGTTTGCCTACAGTCACACAAAACACCCATAATTGACTACGTGGAGGTTAGGTTAAGCTAGGTAAGATTCGTCAAGAAGCAGGACAAGTGTTTCCTGACGCGGGTCTCAAGTCACATGATGACCCACCGCTGGAACATTTGGTCATCTGACCGAGGCCTTCCATTGGCTTCCCGCTCCACTCCTTTAAAAATTAAGATTGTTTTACCAGGTGAGGGTGGTTGCTCTTCAAGTTTCATTTCTACCTAAAGCGACACAAAGGTGTTTTACACCCGTGTGTAGAAGAGTAACAAAGAGACAACAATAACGAAGACACACACGGGTGTTCTACACCCGTGTGTCTCTTTGTTATTGTCGGCAATGCTTCCTGTGTCATACTAGGTGTTTTTCAATGTTGTAAAATTTCGTATTCGTTTCACGGGCTCATCTGCAATATATTGCTGCCTTTATGTTTATTTATATTAATTACATTTCCTAAGGCTTATCTCTTCCCCTTTTACTAGAATATTAATTTATTTTCATCCGAACAGAAGCTCGGAACCTCAACTCGGGTTATCTTCCTGTGACACCTTTCTGAGTACCTGAAACTTATTATGTAAGGAAATAGAATGAAAGGATGAAGAGGGGGAAGGATTAGGGAAATGCAAGAGAATATGTATCTTTGAAAGAGTTTATTAACTGTAAGCCATGATCAGTTCAGGTTATTTCAAAACTCTAATTCTAAGGCCTTATTCTGATCCAAATTGAAATCAATTATCCCTACAGGGTTTATAAAAAAAGTTAAGATTTTAATGTATTTCTGTAATCGGCACTGCAGGCACTAATCTCTACAGTGTGATTCAAAAATTCAGCTTCTGTAATCTGACTTCATTCAGCAGACAGGCCCCACAGCAATAAGATATAACTAACTGATTTTATGATTTCTCAGAAATGCCAGTATCGGCTTCGATATATATTTTTAGCAAAGAGTATATTACCAGTGGCGATTCAGAGCTTGTTGCATCCTTCATCACAGCTCTTCAGCTTCACGGCTCGTCCATTGCGTCACAGTTGGCCGGCCACTTAGGCCATCCCTCGTTAGTCACCCACTTATCCCTCACACTAACTGACCTAGCTTGGAGACTGGGTCAGTGACACAGGACGCCTGGCCAAGGACTGGACCGCGGGGACGTTGACCCCCGGAACACCCTCCAGGTAGACTCTTGGTAGGTGTGGATATAACTTTAACCAGTTATATGTAGGGATCAGTTTTGCCCAAAGGGTATCTTATAAGATGTCGCTACAAGATTAAAAGACTAGACCATAATGGCAAAAGCAAAATATAACTTAAGCAGTTACTTATAAAAAATTTCTGCTACACAAAGCTATATCTAACATGTGCTCTGCCTTTATGCCTGGTGATGCAGCCTCTCGCGTTTTGCTCCGCATGTAGAATGGCTAGAATGTGTGATATTCAGCGAGTGGAACACTGGGCATATCTCCTTACATCAGGTGCCCCTGTTCGCCTAGCAGTAAGTAGGTACCTTGTTGCCAGTCGACTGCTGCGGGTCGCATCCTGGGAAACAGGAACAAAGACTCTTAATAGCAATACACAACACAGTTTGGCTTTCCTGTGTCTTCCTGGGTAACTAACCCGACGGGTCAATAAACCCAATTACGTCCTTGGCTTGATGCTTCTGTCTAAATCTATCCTATCAAGCCCTGATACAGATTGTCACGGGAACAGCAAACACTTCGATGCAGTTTCACAAGTGGAACGCCAGCAAACCCGCTCACAAATCATCACATAGTTCAGGATCTTCCTAGACGATACTGTCTCATATTTCACTCTGAGGCTGTCTGGCTCATCGCTGAATACTGAGACTTTAATTCATCCTCACGTTACTTCGGGGTATCATCATGCTGCTCTCTGGAGATCATCAACAACTGTGACTCTTGATGACTGATGATCATCGGGATATTGTCCAGTATTGTGTTATATTTAAATACTGTAAGAGTGTTATGTAACTCTCACTTAATATTGTATCGCGAATATCTTCATTATTAGCTAAAATAAAGATGTTTGGCTTTATATTATTATGTCTCATCAGTTATCATCATTATCATCATTATTATTATTAGCTATGTAAATAGGTATCGTGTGTTTCTTTCGTTAAATGAGGAAAGCAAACTACTGACGGTGGGAAACAGTCTTGACAACTACTGTTAGTTGGTTTAGGGTCTAGCTGACTGAGTCACGTGATCCGACCTGAGGTTACGTTAGTGCACTTGGATTCAGCTGAAGTCTTGTCCGGCCCTGAGCACAGTAAACATCTCTCTCTCTCTCCTCTGGTTGTCTAGTCAAGTTTCAAGTTTCTTTAGGAAACGGTGTCGTTGGTGACGCCTGGTTTACTCTGTGTATTGGTGGAAAAACTGTTATTAATAAACTTGGTCATTTGCGCTGTCTCTTAAGGTGTGTCTGTCAGACATTTTATGTCTGTTTCCTTAACTATAGAACATAAATCTTAGTTTTGAGTATAGTTACGCTAAGACGTAGATTGTAATAATCTGTGTTGAGCATAGATTTGGTATTCAAAAGAAAGGTCCATAGTTATGGTCACTTCCATTGAAATTACTATGTATTTATAACCTTATGTAAATTCATGACTTAAATTAAGAGTTAGGTTAAAGTAAGATATTTATGAAGACAATCGTAAATCTTGTACCTTAAGTAATAAGGTACCTTGAGTACTCTTGAATATAAATTAATAAGAGAAGAAGAAATTAGTGTGCCTTAAATACTTTAACATTAAAGATCGTTAATTTTATATTTGTTGGATTTTTATTTCCTAGTTGAAATTAAACCTTTATCACTAAATTGATTTTCTAAAAGAATAACTAGACGAGACATTGTTCCAATATCTTGTTACAAGAAAGAGGCGATCTTAATTACAGGTCAATCACTTAGGGAGATTCCTTCCAGAACTCCTTAACTGTAGATATCATCATTGTAGGAATATGTCTGATTGACGTAGTGATATATTATTATTATTATTATTATTATTATTATTATTATTATTATTATTATTATTATATTCAGGGAGAAGCACCGAAGCTGTGACGGTCATGGAGAGCCTGAAATTGGAAGGAAAAAGGTTCGCTTCTGCATACTTAAAGGTAAGTGGACTTGGTATTTGATCATTTGTGTGGACTCGTTCTGTTCTAGGACTGACTGGACCTTATCTCTGATTGTCCTGTTGGTGTCTAAACACTGTATTTTTAAGGGCATAGTCTCGATATCTGGCACAACCAATAATGTGTTGACTTGGGGGGATGAATCGTGTGCAAGTCACACACTCTGATACTTGTGCAAGTCTTGTGACTTTTGTGCCATATCTCATAGTATTGATCTAATGTTCAAGTTAAAACCATCATTTGAAGAATTAGACACATGTGCAACATCTGGGTGTCTTGTAGACGGTCCGCCAATCAGCGGCTTTATCAGTACAATACACGCACATAATAGAAATGTATACAGCAAGCAGTAGAAGATCAGGTAATCAGTCCCTCAGCCTACGAGCAGGTGATGGGCACCAGATGTTGCACAAGTCTCTAATTCATCATCTTGTCGGGGTTCAAAACCACTGATACAATCATCATTTGGGGTTCAACTTAAAATGTGTCATACGGAACACCAATTCTCTTGCTGAAAGAAAATAAAGCGTATGAGATGTCTTTTTTTCAGAAAAGATACGTACCTCTTAAGCTTCTCCTTAGACTGGATCCCTGGACTGGTGAATAGAAGATTTTCGGTTTAATACCCTGAGAGGGTTGGTGTGCAAGAGTCCATTGTTTTGTAGCGTGGAGTCAGAGTGACTGTGCTTGTAGCTTTCTCAGAAGACCCTGGTGTTATACCCTGTCACTGGCACTCCCTTCCCGCCCTCCCTTCCTCTTCTCAATCACTCATCCTCTCCCTTTTTGGCTCCACTTTTTTAACTGGCTTTCTCTCTCACTCCCTCCTTGCCTCCTTTCTCTGTCTTTTTTATATCTTTATTTGACCTCCCTCTCTCTCTCTCTCTCTCTCTCTCCTCTCTCTCTTATTCCCTCCTCCCTGTTCCCTCATTCCCTCCCTGTTTCCTCTCATTCCTCCCCTCCCTCCTTGTTCCTCTGTCTCACATTTCCTCCTTTCCTCCTCCCTACCTGTTCCTCTCTCTCTCCCTCTCACATTCCCTCCCTCCCTGTTCTCTCTCTCCTTCATTCCTCCCTGTTCCTCTCTCCTTCATTCCCTCCCTGCTCCCCCTCTCCCTCATTCCCTCCCTGTTCTCTCCCTCCCTCTCTCATTCCCTTCCTGTTCTCTCGCTCATTCCGTCCCTCTTCTCTCCCTCTCTCATTCCCTTCCTGTTCTCTCCCTCCCTCCCTCACCTGCTGCGAGGTAATCTCCTATTCCGTCCAATCTTTATAACTTATACATTGAATCACTTGGAAAAAATCGACACACAAAGCCTTTTTCTTTTCCCCTCTCCTTCTCTTCACATTTTTCCGCTTTATTTTCTTCTCTTCCTTTTCACCTTGTCAAAATTGTCTTATTCTCTTTACCTTTTAACATTTTTATCCTGTTCACCTCATTATCTTATTTTTGTCCTCTTTATCATCTCCATTTTTCTTCATTACCTTCTTATCCTCTTTTATTATTTCCCTATTTGTGTCTTTTATCTGTTTTTCATTTTCTATTAATTTGTTTTATCATCTCTTTCTTACGCTTTAATATTAAACAGCATTAAATTGCTGTTAAAAGGTTTATAAGGTTTATTTTAGGCTAAGAGCTTATATTCTGGGGTCAGGATATAAGCTCTGGTCTCCTGGTGGATCAGGGCGTGATCAACCAGGCTGTTACTGCGGGCAGCACGTAGTCCAACGTAAGAACCACAGCCTGGCTGATTGGGTACTGACTTTAGGAATCTGTCCAGCTTCCTCTTCAAGACAACCAGGGTCTATTGGTAATGGCTGGTGGGAGGCTGTTGGACAGTCTTGGGCTCCGGACACTTACTGTGTTTTCTCTTAGTGTACCAGTGGCGCCCCGTCTGCCCACTCTTTTGCTTTCGCAGGGATTATTTTTTGTGTGTGCAGATTTGCGACCAGTCCTTGTAGGATTTTCCAGGTGTATATTATGATGCATCTCTCTCGCCTGCGCTTCAGTGAGTACAGGTCAAGTGATTCCAAGAGTTCCCAGTAATTAAGGTGCTTGACAGAACTTATACGTGCAGTAAAGGATCTCTGTACACTCTCTAGATCTGTGATTTCACCTGCCTTGAATGGAGATGTTAATGTGCAGCAGTATTCCAGCCTAGAGAGAACAAGTGATTTAAAAAGGATCAACATTGGCTTGGCATCCCTTGTTTTGAAGATTCTCATTATCCATCCTATTATTTTCCTCGCAGATGTGATAACGATACTGTTGTGATCCTTGAACATGAGACCCTCTGACATTAACACTCCTAGGTCCTTCGCACCACTCTTCCGCTCTATTGTATGACTAGAATTTGTAGTATACTCAATTCTAGCTATTAATTCCTCCAGTTTTCCATAACGGAGTAACAGAAATTTGTCCTCATTGAGAATCATATTTTTTTCCGTTGCCCATTGGAAAATTTGGTTTATATCTTCTTGGAAATTTGCCGCGTCATCAAAAGATGACAGTCTCATGCAGATTCTAGTATCGTTTGAAAATGATGACACGGTGCTATGGTTTACATATGTCTGTCTGATACGAGAGCGAGAAACAAGATGGGAGCGGGTGCTGTACCTTGTGGAACAGCGCTTTTCACTGTGGCAGCCTCCTTAACTCTGTTTACCACCACTATTTTTATTCGATTGGTTAGAAAGTTGAAGATCCTACTGCCTACTTTGCCAGTTATCCCTTTAGCACGTATTTTGTATGCTATTACACCATGATCGCACTTGTCAAAGGCTTTTGCAAAATCTGTGTATACTGCATCTGCATTCTGTTTGTCTTCCGGTTCATCCAAGACCATATCATAGTGATCCAGTAGTTAAGAATTTTAGTGACTGTGGGAATTCACTTTGGTCTGTGCTTCCTTCTCACATGTTGCATAAGTGTCTCATTGTCGATTTCCTAGACCATTTATCACAGCATATGCTGTATAAACTATTTATCTACATAACTGTCTTCTAGTTGTCCATTTCCATAACAGCAAAGTAATCTGATGTCGAGAGCTTACTAAAATGATAACCTCAAGATTACTCACCTCGTTCACGATTATGAGATACGACGGAATGTCAGGCTGTGTTGGAGAATGGCGTATACTCAATTTGAGATCAAGTTTATGCAGCATATCAAGTTTTTCAGCCACTGCTATGAGATATGAGAGGCATCTCTATGCTGTGTTTTCTTCCCTGTCTTGAGAGTCAGGATCAAAGAGTCATAGCAGAATTAAGTATCACCTGGATATCATTAACGTCATCGTTGAGGGGTGAGATTCCCTTTCATGCCTGTCTGCGTAGATCTCATACTTTCTGTCTGTTTGCTTAAATCTACTCCATTCCTTCCCTTCCTTTCCGACTCGTATTTTTCTTGTATTGTTTACCATCTATAATTGTAATTTTTGATCTTCCCTTCTTTCTCTCCGAATTCCTCTGTCCTGTCATTGATTCCCTCACCTCTCAAAACTCTGTCATTCTCTTTCTTTCCATCTTGTTTCCATTTATCCAGTCTTTTTTTCCTGTTTTTCTCTCCAGTTTATTTTGTCCCTCTTGAACACTGAAAATTATTCCGCACTTGTTAATTCTATAAACACTGCATGTTTTCCAGCACCGTGAAATCTCCCAGTGTTTCCTTGATTCAGATTAGATCTTCCAGTGTTTCTTGGATTAAAGTTAGATTTTTCCAGTTTTTCCTGGCTTTAGGTTAAATATTCCAGAGTTTCCTGGACTCTTATGAAATCTGCCCGTATTTCCTGAACTAAAACAGCCTTTCAGACTGCCCTGGGCTCACGTGAAATCTTTAGATTAACTCTTCCACAGATTTCCAGGCTCAGATTTAGTTTTCCAGAGATTTCCAGGCTCAGATTAAGTTTTCTACAGATTTCTTGACTCGCGTAAAAATCTTGCAATGTCTTTCCGGACCTATGCAAAATCTTTCAGAGTATCTTGAACTTACGTGAATTATTTCTTAGTATCGTGGACTCGCATGAAAGTCTTTCTGAGTTTCTGCAACTCAGATCAGGTCTTCCAGGACTTCCTGAACGCGCACAGGAAGATAACAAAAATCTTAAAGACAAGTCGACTTTTCCAGCGGTCTTGTCTGCAAACTTGTGACCTGATTTGCTGTTAAGAATCAACTTTCTAGTTTTAGACTTAAAAAGACAAGTGGAATTGGATTTTCACATGTGTGAGATTGCAGAAGTTTGCAGGAGCTGGACAGGGTTTGTGCCGAATGTTTTATGGAGTGTATGTGTCAGGGGGGAAAGTGTTTTGCTTCTTGTGATTCTTCTCTTCTCTCTCTCTCTCTCTCTCTCTCTCTCTCTCTCTCTCCTCTCTCTCTCTCTCTCTCTCTCTCTCTCTCTCTCTCTCTCTCTCATTAATTAGAGGATTATGCAGGTCTTTGAAGATGATACCTTAAGTACCTTTAAAAAATACTAGACAAATACACGAGTCAGGTTTTAATAAGAGACGGATCTGAATTATAGGTAGTCCATCGGGACTATAGCGGTAGTCATCTATGCTGATATTCTTATATTAATAAACATTCTTTTTCGGGTACGTTGCAAAAGAATTGAACAGCTCAACAAACTGGAGAGGTTCACACACCTTTAGGGTGTAAAGAAATACAAGGGGAGAGAACTTTAAATATTCTTATGGAGAGAGTGTTTATAACAGTAGTATGTCTCTCACTGAGAGCTTACTTTAATCCTTATTTTAAGCATTAAATGATAATATCCATGACTTGTGGTGTACAAGTAACATCCTTAATGATTTTCATTTAGTGAAAGGTTTTAAGCTTAATAAACCAACTATCTTAACGAGCTGTTTAAAAAACAGAAAATTATTATTTTTTTGATTTCTGAAAATTTGTACTGTCAACTTCTCACGTGTTTTTTTTTTTCTCTTCACTTCTGTAGGGTGTTTCCAGGTATACACTCAGTAAGTGTCAGTAACTCGCACTTTTTTGAAACGATAATGCAGACCATTGTTGCCTGCTGTCCCCTGTTTAACCACTTGAGGGATACAGACCAGGGCTTAAACGTATTCAAATCACGAAAAATAATCCTTTCCAGATTTCAATTTGTTTTTCGGGAAAATGGGTAACAGTTATGGAAGAACATATGCAGTTTCCAGCAGGTGGTAGCCGAGTTAACAGTTTGTATCCGGATTCAAGGCTGCTGGATTTGTGCAATCTCAACAAGTTCATTTGTAATCGCATGTAACTTATTCAGTCTACACTCGAGTTCACTCCACACATGTGCAACACCTGGGTTTTCTTTATTATGACGACGCTTCGCCAATCAGTGGCTTTTTCAATACAATAGAGATGGAAAAATAAACACAAATGCAGTGTAATGCGATCCTTTATTGACTGTTTCGCCCGCACAGTGGGCTTTATCAAGTCACAAACAGTAATGCCTGGGTAAAGAATACCTGAGTATATATAGTGTGGAGAGTCAGGTTGGTAGGTAAGACACATAGGCAACAGTTAGGCAACTTTATTCCGAAACGTTTCGCCTACACAGTAGGCTTCTTCAGTCGAATACAGAAAGTAGGCTGAAGAAGCCTACTGTGTAGGCGAAACGTTTCGGAATAAAGCTGCCTAACTGTTGCCTATGTGTCTTACCTACCAACCTGTCGGTATGTATACCATTATGATGTTCATGGAGATTCAGGTGGAGAATGTTTGGGAGGTTGGATTTGAGATGGACCTGTATGTTATTATATGCTGCATTTGTGTCCATTTTTCCATCGTGTCGGTATTTTAAACCATTTATCTCCACAGTGAAGAGATCCTGGAGTCGGTGGAAAGTGAGGTAATCAGTCCCTCAGCCATGATGGGTGTTCAGTCCATCAGCGTTGATCAGTCTGGAGCAGAGTACGGACACCTGCTGCACCTCATTTCTGGAACCAGAAAGGAAGTGCATCAGTTGAAGTTATCATCACAGGTGGGCGGGACCCTATAGTGGAAGTAGGTTAAATACTCTAGATACATTAAAAAATGCACGAAGCACAGGTTTTGAAATCGTGGATGATGCCTTTCAAGTATTGTATTTTTGTGTTTTTATATAAATACCTAAGCTCACGGTTTCTATATTTCTCAGCTCATGAACGTTCTCACGCTTGAGATTGAGGATGTGATAATGGAGCACCCAGGGTGAGGGAACACCCAGGGTGTGGGAGCACCCAGGGTGAGGGAACACCCAGGGTGTGGGAGCACCCAGGGTGAAGGAGCACCTAGGGTGTGGGAGCACCCAGGGTGAAGGAACACCTAGGGTGTGGGAGCACCCAAGGTAAAATTTATTTGAATCTGGCTTCAAGACTTGGCTTAGTACACTCATCGAAGTGCTTTCAAGAATTCCATTTCTTTATTATTTGATTATTAAAGATTCGCCCGTATTCTCCCGGCCCGGGCCTTTTCCAAGTGGTGGCCCGGCCTCCATTTCTTTCTCGGTGGCTTCCAGGGACCAACTGTCCAACTGTTGTTTACGTTGTTTGTTATTCTTTCTAGTTCTCATTCTTGGAGTGAAACAGTTTTTTTTTTCTTCTTTTCAACATTTTGGTTGATGAACTCTCCTGCATAATTTCCTATATATATTATATATTATATATATATATATAATATAATATATATATATATATATATATATATATATATAATATATATATATATAATATATATATATATATGTCGTGCCGAATATGTAAAACTGGTCAATTAACAAGAACTAATTTAAAATTAAGTTCTTTCTAAAATTTTCTCTTATACGTTTAAAGATATATTTTTTCATTAATGTTAATATAAAAATTTATAATTTTGTTCCAAAAGAATCTTAGAAAACTTACCTAACCTTATTATAACAAGAATTTATTTTAGCCTAACCCAGCTAAATATATTTTAGATTTGTTTACAATAATTTAAAAATAAACACAGTGAAATATATTTTTTTCGTTAGGTTCAGAATGATTTTGGCGAAATTATTGCATACACAAATTTTCGCTTGTCCTATATGGCAAGATGAGCGTTACTATTTAAGCCAAGATCGCAAGTTCTGCCTATTCGGCACGACATTATATATATATATATATATATATTATATATATATTATATTATATATTATATATATATATATATAATCTCATTTAGACTATGCTGCTCAATTCTGGTCACCGTATTACAGAATGGATATAAATGCTCTGGAAAACGTACAGAGGAGGATGACAAAGATCCCATGTATCAGAAATCTTCCCTATGAGGATAGACTGAGGGCCCTGAATCTGCACTCCCTCGAAAAGTGTAGAATTAGGGGGGATGTGATCGAGGCGTATAAATGGAAAACAGGAATAAATAAAGGGGATGTAAATAGCGTGCTGAAAATTTCCATCCAAGACAGGACTCGCAGCAATGGTTTCAAGTTGGAAAAGTTCAGATTCAGGAGGGATATAGGAAAGCACTGGTTTGGTAATAGAGTTGTGGATGAGTGGAACAAACTCCCGAGTACAGTTATTGAGGCTAAAACGTTGTGTAGTTTTAAAAATAAGTTAGATAAATACATGAGTGGGTGTGGGTGGGTGTGAGTTGGACCTGACTAGCTTGTGCTGCTGGGTCTGGTGCCGTGCTCCTTCCTTGAGTGGAGGTGACCAGACTGGGTGGGTCATTTGTCTAATCCCGGGGGGGGGGTGACACGGACCTGCTCCGCATGGGTCAGTAGACCTGTCGCAGTGTTCCTTCTTTCTTATGTTCATATATAATATATATATATATATATATATATATATATATATATATATATATATATATATATTAATATATATATATATATATATATATATATATGACACCAAAATCATAAACTTGTAAATATCATAAATGTACAGCTAATTTGTTTATTTTTCTTCATCTTCACTTGGTTTAATTTTCCCGTCGCCGAATTCCAGAACCCAGCAAAATTTATGTGCCAGTGAAAATGTTGCAGTTGTGTCCGACAGCCGGGAAATTGGTGCACGGGATTTTAAATTTATTTACAACAACAGCATAAAAGAAAGAAATAAAATTCGCCACGAAAATAAAAATGTATGCACGAATGTTTCTTTTTTTTGCCTAAAATTGTCATTTATATATATATATATATATATATATATATATATAAAATATATATATATATTGAATATACATTAGTCCATAGTGCATTATATTGTAGAATACATGATTTTGTTGATGTTGATGCTGCTGTTGCTATGGTAACATATCGCCGAAGTTGCACGTCAACGGAGTAACTACTGTGGTTCATGAAACAGTCGAACTCGAGATCAGCATTCAGGAACTTTAACGAACAGTCACTCATGACCTCGTATAGTATGCAGCATCAGCGTCAACTCCTACCCTTCCCACTCCTCCAATAATCTAGAATGTCTAAAACCGAGAACCTGTACAGAAGCTAACAAGGAAAAAGCTTCCAGAGCCATAATAAAAAATTAGTGTTGAAAGATTCTAAAAACGTAACCTCGTAACATTAGAGGATTATATTAACTAGAAAAAATATAATCGTAACATACAGGATGCCTAGAGGATGAGATACTTAGTGAATGAGGATATTTGGAGGATAGGATTCTGAGATTAAAGAAATACCATTCGAGGAGTGGAAAACTGTTATAAGGGAGCAGAGAGGGAGACTGAAGACACAAATGAGCCAAAGGTATGTCAGGAAATATTTCTTGAGCTTCAGAAAATGGGGCGATTTGGATAATGAAAGTTGTAAATTCCCTTAAGAATAGATATGATAGAGCACTGGAGACTAGAAATTAATGAACGGTGATATGCAACATAGAGGTGGAGATCAAGAGCTGAAAAGTGAATCCACAAACCATACCATGGGCGGAGATAGAACCCACGATCAGAGTCATAAAACTCCAGACCGACGCGCTAGCCACTGGGCCAGCTGGCTACAATCGTGTCATTACGAGTCAAGTCAGCTCGCAGCGTGCCCCACCTACACTGGACCACTGCTGTAAAACGAAAATCGCTATAAAGTGAGACATAGCCTTTTCTTGACTTTCAAATGCAAATAAAAGCCTTATAACATGTTTATACATCAACAATACACACATTACTTACCTTAAAATATTTTCGCTCTTAGCTTAGAGTGAGTGGTGAGAATATTTATTGTAGAAAGTCTAAATGAAGAATGAGAGCAATTAAAAACTGCTGTATTGGCGAAACACTGTAAAGCGAAGCCCTCCTGTACTCTCTCTTCCCCAACAAGTGTGCTTTTCACCGGCCCTCCACCACCCCGACCCTACCCAGTTTTTGCTGTTTGTCAGGTGAAAAATCACCTGATGCCGGACTTAGTCATGTGACGCGCTCAGCGGCTCATTAAGATCAGCTTAAACACTGTGTCACAGCTAACATAGCGCACTTAGCTCTTGTCACCTCTGGCGTGAAACTGCTGCAACGAGACTCATGACTGTGCAACAACCAACCTCCTTCCCTCCCTCTTATTTTTTTTTTTTTTTTTTTAGTTTTGGGAGAAGTTTTAAAATGGGTAGATGTGTCGTTAGGATGGGCTTACTGTCCATAGCTTATTTACCCCTAGGAATACACAGGAAACAGCAGATTTTGGTGGCACCTGGTGCTCTGGTGGTGGGAGTAATAGGCGACTTTGTTGTAGGAGTTTCGCCTGACATTCTAGCAGGTAGTGTTAATGGCTGCAGTCTCGATTATTTTCTGTCTTTTTTGGTAGTGTAGGCAAGGCACAGTAGATGAATAGATATGTGATTGTTGGCAGGTGAGGGTTGTCACTGAGAAGCTATTTCATACCACATCTCTGATCTTGGTGTTCAGTTGAGAGTCGCTCGTGTTTGACTAGCAGTGTTTTTGACCATCTGCTACGTTGTAATAGATTTGGTACGTTGAGAAGTGCACGATCGTCACTAGTGGCTAATTTGGCTTCCTCTGTATCCTCGTTTCTGTGGATACCAACGTGGCTTGGTATCCAAATAAATATGTTTTAACTTCACTGTATATTCATAGCCTCTAAATGTACAAGATATCTTGTGTAGTCTTACGTAATCTGGGGATTTTTTATTTAATCCTGAAGTTGTATTGGAGTGACTGAAGAGCAGCCGTGAAATCCGTGTAAAAAAAAAAACTGTTGCTTATTCTATTGTGTTGCTGAGTTGCCACTAACTCAGCTTGTAGTATTGAGCAGTGATCAGAGAGTCTCCATCCCTGGGGTGTCGTTCCTCATGATGTACCGCATCTGTTGCAAGCTTGTTATCTGGATGCTGTGCTCCATCAGTGAAGTACACTGCACTGTTGAGACTGTCAACTTGGCCTACGCTTGATTCTGCATGGCGTAGCGTGTTGTCTGTGCTACTTATATGCTCACTGGGGGACAGTCTGTGACAGTATCTGCTGGTCGTAGTTGCCATGATGGTGCAGATTTGTGTACTCCTCTGGCAAATCAGGTCCTTTTTCTAGTAGTTGTCGACGTAGCAGTGTTCTCGCTACATCAGCCATGGCTATACTGTATTTGCCCCTTTTTCTTGGGGAATGTGTAAATCAGTGCTGGCACACGTAATCAGTGAAGGAGCAAACTGCGTGAACATAATACAATCTTAATACCTCAACCCTGGTACCAACATGTCAGTTTATCATGGTTTTCATGGTCTTGATTCTGGGGATAATCTGGTATACTCTGCCTATTTTCAGAAAGTTAACCCTTTGTCAGTTTAAATACCAAGGTACTGGTAACAAGTAGTCCATTCCAATTCAATGTTTTGTATGTGAAATTTGATGTCTGGAGCACCTTTCATTCTGATTATCAACGCCTCTGATTGCTCTGCTGAAATGTTTAATCTTAATTTGGACCAGGAAAGTGGCAAAGTTACTTGAGAGAGGTGGTGACATGTTACATGGCGGTGGGAGGCGAGGTGTATTTTTTCCTGCATCTCTATGGTTCTGGCTGTGTAGCCTTCCTTTTTGTTGGCACCTTGGAGGGACCTTCTTGTGGGAAAAGTTTTGTTGAGCCTTCACTGGCGGCTGTTGATGCTACTTGTGTTTGTGCTGCTGTTGTCCTGGGAACCAGAGGTTCCATACATGGTACTTTTTCTAGCAGTTGAAAGAGCAGTTTTTTCCTGTCGATTGTGGTTGCCTAGGAATACTTCTTGTCTTGTGAGGACTACTGCACACACGCCGCAGAGAATCTCGTATTTGCAACGACTCTGATGATATCCGTACTTTTGGCAGTGGAAGCATCTCAGCTGCTCGGGTGTGTAGTCTGTTACATGATAATTGCTCTACATACCGAGAGAGACGCCGTTGGCAGTGGACCTTGATATTGAATCAGTACTTGCGTTTTGGTATAGTTTTTTTATAGGCTAGGGCCCCGCTCTTCCTTCAGGACTCCCACTGCTTTGATAATAGGATCCAGTTGCATCTCTACCGGGTAACGAATCATTACGCCTCTTGTTTTCACTTAGTGATCCAGCGCCTCGAGGGTTGGGGTTCTTTTCCCTGAGTACCTGTCCCATTTTGTGCTGCCTCTTCGTTCAGGGGAGTGATGTGTACTTCCATCTCAGGTTCAACTGAGGTAAATCTTCACTGCAGCAGGTGCAGATGCGGCATCATTGGGTGAGATCCTCCGTGCGACCTGGCGAAACGTGAGAGGGCACGTTTTACCCAAGATATAACTAAGAGCATACGAAACAAGAAGGAACCGGCGTGAAAGTTCTGAACACTAACACGGATGTCTTCACAAATAAGAAAGGCAAGTGTAAGCAATTAGTCGAGTAGGAGCAACCAGACTTACTAACTACAGTATGTAAGGTAGCCAACCAGAGCCCACAAGGCGGAGAACTAACGAAATGTGTACATCAAAAATATGGGGCCAGGAGCTAAGACCCAACCGCAGCAACCACCACTAGAAGGGTAAAACTAAATGAGAAGACCCATATTCAAAAAAGTCAACACAAACAGAAAACAAAAACATACCTGACACAAATAGTGACATTTCAGTGTTGCTATCACTTAGATAAACATACAATTCAGCGGCAACAAAAAGATATCGAGGTATTTCCGATATTGTCAAATCGAGAGAATTTTTGGACACGCTGTGAATAAAAAAAAAACGCTTTTTATTTGAGTGTATGCTGATGGAGGGGAGGAGGGCGGAAGAGAAATTGTGAAGTTACGATACAAGCTAGAGAGAGGGGAGAAAAGAACTACAGAGGGGAGATACGAGATAAAGGGAGACAGAGAGGGGAGATACAAGCTGAAGGAAGACCGGAGAGATACAAGCTACAGGGAAACAGAGAATATACTAGCTGCAGGGAGACAGTGAGGGGAACATACAGGCTACAAGGAGACAGTGAGGGGAACATACAAGCTACAAGGAGACAGTGAGGGGAACATACAAGCTACAAGGAGACAGTGAGGGGAACATACAAGCTACAAGGCTCTAGTTCTTGGGTCCACTTCCTAGCTATCACTTGGACGTCACCACATAATTAGCACAAGCATTAAGAAAACAATCATCTTTTTCCTTACAAAATGGCACCAAAACTGTCTCCCGATCTAAGATTGGTCATCTTTGTCTTGACTGGATGTATCATTCGTGATGCCAGGCTCTTGGCGTCATTCATGACGCCAAGAGCCTGGAGTCATTGTCACCAAGTGGGTGTGAACGTCGAGTGAGCTGAGTGGAAAAGCTCCGGACATCATATTTGTATGTCCCACAACAATAAAAAAAAATTGCTTCCAAATGAGCTGATGTAGGTACCAGCTCTTGGCATGTAAATAAAGTTAGCAACCCTTAATGTAACACTGTAAAACCATTTGCAAACAAAAATAGGTTATACGTCACATTAGATGTATGGAAGAGAGGGATTCCACCGGCTTTCTAACCATGTGAAGCTTTCCTTCGATGACTTGCCCCTTCACTAAAAGCTAACCACATTTTCTCGATTGCAATATCTCTCTCTCTCTTCTGAGGGCTCCTAAGGGAGAGAGATATTGCATTTTTTTTCCTCATCGTTTGAATTGATCATGAGTTATTTTCGTTCTTCGTTGCTG